AAGCAATGATCACTCAAAGATCAAAAACTCAAGTTTAAGCTCAAGTAGGTAGGTAAAGATATGCAATACAATGCTCTCTAAACTTGTTCATATCTATTACCAATCATATTTATAGCCCCATGGTCGAAAATAGCCGTTACTAGCCGTTGGGGGTCATTAAATGCTCTGCAAGACGCAAGGCTCGAGTTGCAGAACTGTCAGGAGAACCGGCTTAACTTCCTAGAGCCGGCTTACACTTCTAGAGCCGGCTATCCGGGTTTGTAGGCCATTCTCTTTTCCTCGAGAGTTGGCTGCAAGACTTTGAGCCGGCTTTGGAACTCCGACTTTAAATTCATTAAAAGATCTTCAAATGAGTTGACCGTTGTGCATTAAATGCACCCTCACAGCCGGCTATAAAGTTGGAGCCGGCTTTGCGTCTTTTCTCCGCACGCGCCAAACAACGTTCTTCAAATTTTTGCCTGTAGAGTCGGCTCTCTGCACTTCCATTTCACCAGAGTCGGCTGCAGCTTTCAAGAGCTGGCTCTTTGCACACTTTGAATCCTTTTGGTCTATTTTTAGTGCAATCCAAGTTTACTTGCAATCTTTTAGCAACTTAACTACACACTTAAATAAACCAATTAGTTACTCAAATGTGTTTTGTAATCATCAAAATCATAGGTACAACACTATGGCCCATCCTCGAAATGGCCATGGTTTGATGATTGGATGAAGTTTTGACGTTGGAACTTTCTGTGGTGGTCCATGAATCTGGTAGGCTTTGCAACCTTTAGCATAGCTGATGCAATCTTTCAAAGATCGATGGCCAAAAGAATCCATGTCTGCGAATTAGCCATCTCATCTTAATTCCAGCTTGGTGCGCACCACAGATTCTGTTATGCGCATCTGACATAATCTGGCAGTACTCATCTTGACCAAATAGCGCAGAAGTAATTCATCATGTCCTCTTCTATAAAGAACATCTTCCAACAGAACATAATTCAAGGTCTGCATTTTTGTTCTTCTTGAGGCCTTAAAATTTGGATTGTTTAGGTATTCCATGATCGGATAGCGCCAATTTGTCTGGGTTACGTTTATGGAACAAGCAGAAATTGCCATACCACGCATGTGAATAGATGACAGAATTTGTTTTTCCACAACAACAATTCTGCTCATCACGCCTTCTGAGATTTTTAAGCCTGGGGCGATTTGTGCCATCTCATTTGCTTCTGTGTTTAGATCTCGAGTAACATGCCTCAAGATTACATCATCAAATTCCTCCAAGAGTTGTACTACCAAAGCAAAATAAGGTGCCAAAAACAAACTAGTGCACTTGTACTCACCTTCTAATTGCTTTAAAATTAATTGTGAGTCACCAATTATTTCTATCATGGGTACCTTGAGTTCTACCAACACTTCCAACCCAATAATCAATGCCTCATATTCAGCTTGGTTGTTGGTACAATTAAAATCTAGCTGAAATGACATATGGGTTTTCAAACCAGCTGGAGAACTAATAACAATTCCTACTCCAAACATGGAATCTATGTTAGATCCATAAAAAATAAGCTTCCAAGGTACCAAATTTATGGAAAATAAATTAATACCTTTTTCCTCACCGCTTCTACTTCTAGGCGTGGATGATCTGCTAGGAAATCTGCCAAAACTTGCCCCTTGACAGCTTTTTGAGGCATGTACTTCAGGTAGAATTCTGATAAAGCCAAAACCCATTTTCCAATTTTGTCTCTCAACAGTGGTCGAGACAATATATACTTTATCGCATCTGCTTTTGAAATAACATAAACCTCAGAATAAAGCAAATAATGCCTCAATTTTATTGCAGCAAAAAAACAACGCAAGACATAATTTTTCGACCGAAGAATATTTCATTTCGGTCTATGATAGACTTTGACTCAAATAATAAACAGCTTGTTCTTGCTTTTTATTATTTTCTTGAGCTAGCAGACAACCTACAAATTCATCTATGACAGATATGTACAAAATCAAATGTTTGCCTCTTAAATGAGGCACTAAGACCGGTGGCTTTGATAAATAATGCTTTATTTCCTCAAAGGCGGTCTGATGGTGGCTTCCCCATTTGAAATCTACTTCTGATTTTAGCTTCAGTAGTGGCGAAAAAACTCTTGTCTTTCCTGCCAGATTTGAAATAAAACGTCTCAGAAAATTTACTTGCTCAAGGAATCTTTGTAATTCCTTCTTACTTCTTGGCGACTGTGCTTCAATAACAACTCTTGCCTTGTTTTGATCCACTTCCAGACCTCACTCATGCACCAGATATCCCAGAAAATTTCCAACAGAAATGCCAAATGCACATTTTAAAGGATTCATCTTCAAAGCATGCTTCCTCAGTCTTTCAAAAGCTAGCTTTAAATGGCCCAGATGTTCTTCAACTTCATTAGATTTCACAACCACATCATCAATATAAATCTCCATAAAACGACCAATCATATCAGGAAAGGTGGCATTCATGGCTCTTTGGTAAGTTGCGCTTGCATTTTTTAAACCAAATGGCATTACCACCCATTCATACGTACCAATAGCTCCTGGGCAGCGAAAAATGATCTTTGGAATGTCCTCTTTTGCTATAAAAATCTAGTTGTATCCACTGTGACCATCCATGAATAACACAATTCGATGGCGTGCTGCACCATCCACCAATAAATCTGCAATAGGCATAGGATATTCATCTTTGGTGTTGCTAGATTCAGATTTCTGAAGTCTACACAGATTCTCAGCTTGCCATTCTTTTTAACCACAGAACCATATTAGATAACAATTCCACATAATTGGAAGTTCTGATGAAACCAACCTTCAACAACCGCTTTATCTCTTCTTTGACTTTCAAGGTGACTTTTGGAGACATTCGTCTAGGCGGTTGTTTAAAAGGCTTGAAAGCTTCTCTAATTGGTAATCTGCGCTCTACCAGATTTCTGTCTAAACCTGGCATTTCAGAATAGTCCCAAGAAAAATAGTCCTTGTAGTCACACAAAATATTGATAATTTTATCATGCAAACATGTCTCAAGAGAACCACTAATAAAAGTAATTTTCGGATCTGCCTCAGTACCTAGATTTACCTCCTCTAAGGGATCTTGTACTTCTATCTTTAGATCATCGAGTTTCGCTAGTGCCAGATCTAATTCCTCCAAAGTTATTTGATCCTTCAAGTCTTCCTCTTCACCTTCATAGACTACTTCAGATCTGTCTACACAGATTCATTTTTCTGTAAGGTAAGCCGCTAATTTTCTTTTGATTTCTTCCACGGCCTCCTTCTTTTGGTGCTTAATTCGATCCTTCTTCATGGAATTTCTTCGATCTCAGGTTCCTTCCTCAGCCTAAAAGGAACAATTGTTGTAGGCCGAAGTAGTTCATCAACACCTCCTTCACAGTCTGTTTGTCCATTGCAGATCTGGTGCAAGCAGTAACTCCAGAAGGTCTGCCATAACGGTCCATCCAAAAGAAACGACATGTCCCAATATCTTCATCACAATAACGAGCTTCCACTACATTGGTATTTGCCACAAACGGATTGTCATCTGCTGTCATGACTTCAGTTCTACCACCATTCCAGAATATCAATTTCTGATGCAGAGTTGAAGGAACACACCAGTTGGAATGTATCCAACCTCTCCCAAGCAATGCATTATAAGTGGCAGTGGTGTCAACCACAAAGAATGCACACATGAGAGTTTTATTTCCAATGGTAAGTTCTACTGGCAGAATTCCCCTTAAGCGATTTATTCCACCAGTAAAGTCACTGATTGTCACTTCTATCTCCATTAAATCACCCAAAAATTTGCCAATTTTGTGTAGAATACAAGTTGGCAAAACATTGACAGCTGCTCCATTATCAACCAGAACTCGATTTATCGGCATACCATCCAGATGTGCATGAATGTATAATGGCCTGATATGTCTTGCCATCCTCTCTTCTGGTTTTTCGAAAATGATTTTATCTGCTGAATCCATACCACCATCTTCCTTAGTTGGGATCTCAATGACTTCTTTTTCCTTAGTCAAATCTGTCTGGTGACAGACTACAAATTCTGACTGCTCTCTTGCTTGAAAGACCAAAGGAAGAGTGATCACCAAGCAAGATAGATTCACAGAAAACTCACCAAAACAGATTACATCTGATGAATTTTTCACTTTATCTGACACGTCAAACTTCGCCTTCAAACCAACTTCTTCATTTGATTCCACAGTCAGAACTCAAGGAGAAGTTGGACTTCTGGGTGGTTCATTCTTTTCTGGAGAAGTCTGACCAGATGTGCTTCCTTTTTCTTTACGAACCCACACTAATTTTCTCCTTGCTGGGAGCAACTGAGCCTGATCTGCCATGCCCCCCGAGTCTATAATCTACTGTTGGTATCTTTCTGTTGCCCTCTTACGCTGTAAACGCCTCCTTAAGGTCCTTGAATTTTGAACCTTAGGAAACTTTGGATGAACCACACATTCCCACCATTTGCTTGGAGATCTGGGTGGTGGTTTCACCATTTTGGGCTTTTCTACACGTCTAGATATTGCAGTTCTCATATCTGCATAATTTTTTTATTGAGTTGGCCCATACCCCCCGTGCCTTCTCCTTTGGGATGAGCATGATCTAGTTTTATTTCTACGAGCCCTTGCCTCTTCAATGACCCACCTCAAATCATCAACTACAAGTCTACGCCTATGGTACGGCTGATTTCTGTCTCTGGCAATACTCCTAAGATCTACCGCGTTCACCCCAACATACATGCTAGGAAAAGGATCTGCATCAACTTCCATAGTTTCTTTGGCCTTATCTAGAAAGCGTAGAATTCCCTTGTCAATTTTATCCTGTAAAACATTATGAAAACTCACATAATCATTAGTGGAATGTTTCCAAGAATTGTGATATTTGCAATATTCTTTACTTTCAACTTTGCTGACCATTGGGATTTTATGTCCCGGTGGCAACTTAATTAGACCACTCTTTTTAAGGTGGTCGAAAATTACATTAGTTTTTGAAATGTCAAAGGTGTATTGTTTCCCAGCCTTGCCGACATAACGTTTTACTATTTTGTCAGTTTGCTGGGCCACTTTAACCGAATCTGGGCAAACAACTGGTTTGTTTGCCACTACTTCTACCACATCCAGATCAAAGTTAGCATCACCATTATAAGTCCCATGAGATGTAGATTTCCTTTGTGTGTCTTCTCACAATAAATTTTCATAACGAGCAACCTTGTAAGACAACTCAAAGAAATCACAAAATTCCATTCCCTCAAACTTTTTCCTTAACTCAATGTCCAGACCATTTTGTGCCAACTTAACAAATTCCTGTTTTGGCAAGGCCACTCTGCACTTAAGTTTGGCCTTCTGAAATCTAGCAAGAAAGGCCTCAGATGTTTCTCTAGGTCGCTGCACCAGACAAGATAAATCTACCATGGACACTTCTGGATCACTGCGGTAAAACTAGATATGGAAAAGGTCCTCCATTTGCCTCCAAGTATAAACTGAATTTTGTGGCAGACTTCGATACCAAGTGAGAGCTATACTAGTTAAAGAACTGGGAAAAAGTCTGAGCTTCAGATTATCATCACCGGAGGCCTCGCCACACTAAATTTTGAAGCGGCTTATGTGTTCAATTGTAGAATATCCACCATCTTCAGAAAATAGAGTGAATTCTATAACCTTGAACCCCCTTGGAAAAGGATTCTCTTGGTCTATGAAATTTGGATATGGTTTTCTATATGCTGGTCTGACTAGAGGCCTCAAAATTGGACCATAAGCCTCCTACACCATGTCGATGATCTGATCACGATTGATGTACTGCCCTGGCAGACCTTGAAGATTCTGTTGCATGGGTGGCACATAAGGTTGAAAATGCTCCCTTAATGGAGGTGCATTATGTTGTGGGTGTCCTCCATTTGGTCGGCGCAGAGGTGGCAGATATTTGGGCTGCTAGTGATTGTCCAGTTCTGCTGCACGTGATGCAGCCTCAACAGGATCTGGCTACACTGGTCCGCCTGCTACTTGCTGAATCTGGGGAGGCGGCTATGGCAAATTAACTTGCCCCCAAGTGCTGAAGCTAGAATATTTTAATTCTGCCTTTAAAGATCTACTGCTTGTGGCTGAGGTTCAATTCTGGCACGTCAAAATGCCTCCTACATTCGTTCTATTTCAGCTTGGAAAGCTCTCCAATTTTCTGCATTTTGCTCACGCCAGATTCTGGCACTTTCTTCATTAGAGCGCCCCATGTCGGCTACACTTTGAGTTACACTTTGAGCCAAATTCTGGGCCAAATTTTGAAAAGACTAATCCAACTGTCTAGTAACCTCTTGGCTTCTTTGTTGAGCTCTTGACTCAGATTTCAACTGTGTACGCCTCATGATGCTAATCTGTTCTGACACAGCTTTCATAAGGGAATCACTAGATTGAGCAACATCATCTCCAGATTCACTATCCTTGTTGAAGGTAGGATTGACAAAAGAGTGTTCCCCAAGTATTGGTGACAATGGTGGTGGAATGATTGGCTCATTCTCCCCTTTTGAGTGTGCTGGACTGCCTTCACCAAGCCCAATCTGTAAAGTCTAGGTAGCCTTCCCAACGTTTCTTTTTGGTGGCATATTTACGCCTTTTCTTGGAAAAAGGAACAACAGATCTGAAAACTATAAGACACAGTGATGTCCCACCGAATGTGCCAAAAAAGGATTGTTTCCCCAAAAATCTCCTAGTGGCCTCGCACGTGTGAAATCTGGATGCAGGCATGCAACTTACTGTGCTGAAAGTAAGAAAGGAGGACTTTCCCAACGACCCTCTCTTTCCTCACGATCGACCTCTTTGCAAATGGCGGGAAGAACGTTGGATTAAAATGAAATTTGCGCCTTCAAACGATTTGTAAGAGGAGGGATACCTTCCTGCAAAATGGGTTACGAAATCTTCCTTGGACAACTCCAAGGACTTAAACACTACCGTGACTTAAAATTAACAAATCCTAATTGAACTAAATAACCTGCAATTTAAAGTAAATTTGCAAGAAAAAGCTGTACCCAAATTAAACTAAGCATGTTCATTGTTAAATTGAAATGCTATGTACTAGCAAATCTGGAAATTAAAATGCTGCAAAATTAAAGATTTCATCCTAATTAACATTAAAATTAACATGAACAGTAATTAAACTACCATGCTTGAGGTTGAAAAGAGGTATGAACACCACATAAGTAATCATTGAATAAAATGCTACTTATCATAAACATTAAATTAATTGCAAATGGAAAGAGAGCAATACTTTGCATAAACTTGAAAGATTGAAGTTCATTGCATGAAAGGAAATTGTTGAACTGAATACATGAATTAATTTACCTACTAGAATGATGAAAAACAACCTAATTCTACTGGAATTTGTGCTGAAATTTGAAATTTGGAAGCAGATTGCAGAGAAAATAAAGTCTGAAAATTTGTAGATGTTTGAGTAGGGCTAGCCGTGTGTTCTTCCTTCCAAAATTTCCTTTTTGTTCTCCTTTGGCAGGCAGTAACCTCCCACTTTTTGCAGTTACAATCATGGGTGGTTTCTTGAAGTAGTGGGATAACTCATCCTTTGACTTGGTCTAATCTCCTTGCAGATTTTGCCACCTGTACTCTTATCAGATAAAACCCCCTTTTTAACTACAATCTTCTCCTATTTTTCAACTCCCATTATCCTTTTTTGTCTCAAGAAGATAATTACTCCATAAAAAATTATCTTTACCTCTTCTTTTTTGCCAACACAAGTGCTAATCTGTCGTGGGGCCCAGAATCCAAATCTGACATGGCTCAATCTCCTCTAACCAATCAAAAATATTTTACACATGGCATTAATTTAAAATTTTGTAATTTATGGTGTAAACATATTGTAAATGATATTATTTAATGATATTAACATATTTAATTTGAGAGAAATAGAGAGAAGTCTTTCATCTGTCTTCATTTAAATAAATGTAAGAATTAAAATAAAAATAAAGGAAAGGATTGCATTCTATTCCCCTCTAAATTTTTTATTAATCAAATAGAAGAATTTTCATTTCTCACCTCCTATTTTCTCAAATTAAATATATAAGTCAAATAACTAATTCACATAATGCCTTATATAATAGTATTGCACTCAGAAAAATAGTAAATATACAATGAGTTAAGTACAATAATTTCTACAAATTGACATGTCATTTTATAATTAATTTATATTCACCAATTAATGATATTTTATGTACAAATCATTGTACTAAAAATTATTGTACATTGTTGACACACCAAAAAAATTAACGGAGTTGCAATATATCCAAATAAAGGTAGTATAAAATACCTGATCTACACAGAGATATGACTTGATTTGAGGGTTCAATTGAGAGTAGAGGTGTTAGGCAGCTGTAATTGCACCAAACCCGAAGTCCTTCTTCAGTCCGCGCTTGCACTTCGGAACGACCTGCAAAGCCCCGAGGTGGAACTCGGGGTAGACACTCCGATGCTTAAGTCAGCAATAATCGGGGCTAC